ACATCACAATGAATAAGATCTGAAAGTTTCAATGCTCTAACATTTAAGGACCAGAAATTACAGGTGTTTGAAGTTGCAAAGGTTTGAGTGAAAATGAGTATGGAGGCCTGACCAGCCTCGTTTTCACGTTTTAGTTACATTTCAAATGCTCGTAACTCTGCTGACATTTAACATTTGAAACTAAAACTCCACCAATTTACTAATTGAGATATACTCCTTCATACGGTGAAAACAGATGCTTAAAAATATGGAGCGTTTAATGTGCTCATTCCCAGTCTTCTGCTCGTTTTTCATATGGTCAATACGACAAAATAATTAGCCGTTTACTGAGTTTTTACATAATAAGGACATAAGGACTTTACCCACTACCCACGACTTCGTACCCCACGACCCACGATATTTAGTTACACTCATTAATCTGTGGTTCCATTACAAATTGAGATATTCATCAAGTCAGTAAAACTCATATATTTATAAAAATAATAAAATTTTTGATAATTATATAACGCGCGCTCTGATTGGCTGACGACCGTGTTTATATCAGGACATTTTTTGCTCGAAAAATGTTATAAAAGAAATATAAACGGCCGCTTGTGTCTGTTTCCTCTGATATAAACACGGTGGGAGATGAAAAACACTCGAGAAGCAAGAGAAAGACTCGCTATGTTCAGAGGACAGAGACACGCGCGCCTTTTTATATTTCTTAAATGAATCAATAAGAATCCTATCGTAAGTTGATATTTACAGTGTTATAGTTTCATAAAAACGCCAAGCTTGAGTGTATTTGCACAAATGGGGGATGTATATTTGCAAATATTTTCTATTTGTTTAAGGTACACAAACATCCACAAACCATGTTGCGCGATTTTATCACATAAGCCGTCGTTGATTTAGTTTTAATCAAAGAGCAGCTATCAACAACAATTCTTTCTTTAAAAAAAACATGCGATCGCAAAGGCTGAGAGTGTACAGCGGACTTCTTATGCCGGTGAAAAAGCACGCGCGGCATGGTCGCGGAACCTATATCCCGACTTTCCACGATATATCTCGAAGCTGGTCAGAAGGTAGTACGAAGTAATTCCATAAAACTTCACACAGTGAATCACCCATTAAATTTGTTTCAATTCCACTCGAAGATCGCCCGACTTTTCTAGATTTTCCCGAAACATGCCCGAGAGTAGTACGATGTAAATCGATAAAAGTTCACGCAGTTAATGACCAAGTAAATTTGTTTCAAGTTCCACTCGAAGATAGCCCGAGATTGTCCCGAAACATTCCCGAGGATAGCACGATGTAAATCGGTAAAAAATCGTACAGTTAGTCAAGTTATTCCACTGCAGTCTTTTGCTTCTCGCTCCATATTTCTTTGGTAAGAGGTCTCAAAGCTTTAGCTGACCCTGGAGATGTTCCCATGTAGGAATGAATTGCTTTCTTGACATGGTATCGAGACTGCGCGGGAAGGTGTTTCAACTCGGACAGGTTCATTCGTTCCCAGTCATTCACAGTTCGATCGTAGTCTTTTTTGGCGCGTTTTTCCTCCATACCGGAAATGACGTTTTTCATTTCCGACCTGAAAACGATTCCAAGGATAAGCCGTTGTTTTATCATCCGTTCCCACTCCTCCACCTATGGGGGGGGGGGAAATCTTCCTTCCCGAATTTTCTCAGGGGGATGAGAGGGGATACACAAGCTACATTGTGTGTAGTCCAGTCCTCGCCTCCTTTCGACCCGCTCCAAAATTCGCGGGGAAAGAGAGTGAGTCCAATATAACTTGCATGCGCATGTACAAAACAAACCAATCATATTTTTAATAGTCACACACGAAGAGACCGCTTTGAATTTTCAAGACGGAATTCRCAATCTTTCTTTGTTCACATTTTTCTTTTTTTGTTTACGGTATTCAAATTTTCGCTTGCATRTTCGCSAAGAAATGGCAACGATAACTAACTTRCAACAAGGTCACAAAGCTGCAGCCGCATGCAAGTATACTAGCTGGACTCTCTTTCCCCGCAAGACCTGGAGCGAGTCGAAAGGAAGGCAGGACTGGACTTGCTTTTTGATTCGGGCTAGTCTGCAGTCAGTTAATCCGTCAATCCCACATCCATTCATTTAATTTAAATCATTCATTTTTCTGTCCTTTTTGATCGTGTTTGTTCTCTCAACTGTTCCACCATTCCTATTTCATCTATTTAACCATTCATTCAACCAATCATTCGTTCGTCTGACCGTTTAGTTCACTCGCTCATTCGCTCATTTATCTATTTMTCTATCTATCCATTCATTCAATCATTCGTTCTCCCATCCAATAATTCTCACCTGAAATCAGGCAGATCATCAAATGTCATCTTCAGTGGTCTAAAGTTTGCTTGGTTGAACTTGGGTACCGACGGCATAGGTARAGGAGGAAGGCGAGTACTACCAAGATCCTTGTTACTAGATACATTCTTCCCCCTGAATACAAAAGCAAAAAGAAAATGAAGATGGAAAATGAAAAAAAAGGAGATTACGGATGCACCGGAAATGCAAGAAAGCAAATATAAGTGGGAAGAAATTTGATAACAAACAAGGGTAAAGTAAAAAAAGATAATGAAAAAACAGAACTTAGAAAACTTCCAGCATGTAATCTTGACGCGATAAGAAAACTTTTAGACTGACCTTATACAGAAATAGACCCTATTACAGTCAACTCTCGCTATTACGGACACCCTCGAGACCGTAATTTAGTGTCCGCAGAGGCGAAAGTCAGTAGTAAAAAGAGTTACTTTCAGTCATTACTTTGTATTTTACGCCTGGCATTAAGTATTTTACAGTCCGCAATATCGAGGTGTCTGTTGTAGCGGGTTATCCGTAAGGCGAGAGTTGACTGTATAAACCACACGATAGCCTCTGTTGCAGACGACTTTATTTGTACTTCACAGAAGAGAAGCCTACAAAGGAGTTTACTTTCCAAAAATTGCAAGAAACTAAAGGAACGAGGTATATTTTTTTGCTGTTGATCCGGATCAAAACGGCCTAAAAACGTGATCCCGATCCCAAAACTCCGTACATTTTGAGCCGTGATCCCCTTACAGAATCGTTGAAAAATATCATTGATCCCGACCCCAGTTGAAAAACCTTTGATCCCAGGTTAAATCCATTTGATCCGGATCCTGGGCCTAAATCCTGATCCCTGATCCCAAAATAGTCCAAAAAATGATGCTGATCCCTGATCCCTGATCCCAAGACCTCGTTACTAGCCTGTTTACGAGTATTCTGAAATCTCAACTAGAGATAGTGCTGCCTGTGTTTAATGCAATTGAAAGGCATATCTTACCATGCTTTGGATCTAAACAAGGTTCCTGGAATTCTGGAGGGATTTATGGGTCCAGGAACACTACAAGAAAATAGAATATGGTGTAACTTTTAGAAGACAGAAATGTTGGTGGAATTAAGCTATCATATCGTAATAACAAACAATCTGTAGTAAGAATACTTATGGGAATAATTGTTAACTAATGCCCCGAGAACGAACTAGGGAAGCAAACGGCACAGGAATGCAAGAAGGTGCTATAATCCATCCATCCCATTGGTTAAAACATGAAAATCTGCTATAATTTCACAAGTAGGGAATTTTCTAATATTTTATTTAATGTCTGTTTTCGCTTTCATGAAAGCTTTCTTTAGCTTCAATATTAAGGCAATTCTATGTGGGGAACATTGCAAATTAGAAGCATCTTTTGGCTATTGTTTTGATTGCTTATGATTGGATAAGAGCTTTTAATACAAAAGAAACTTTGTTTCAAAATAGAGTTTATCCACATTTTATTTCAAAAATGTGTTACCCACAGATGGATACATAATCATTGTGAAAACCAAGACATTAGTACATGGGGAACTTGCTATGCCGCAGAACAATAGAGAGTTCCCTAGTTCTTTACCGCATTGTTACTTAAACTCATCATCATCATCATCATCATTCCCATCAATCATGGATTTAAATCACTTTGAAGCATCAATGTTTGCATTTTTGCAATTTTTTAAGTGATTTGTAATTCATTGCTAGCATACCTTAGAACATTGATACAACTGTATATTAGTGTACATATATAATATATATTGTAAATTGTTTTTTATTTAAATATTGTATCACACATACTTATCCATTCTCCAAGCAATTTGTGGATCTGTAAAATTAAGTTAAAACCACTAAATAATTATTCACAATAGTACATATAACTGCAAAAATCTACTGAATTGTGATGGGGTTGGGTGGGTAGGGGGTTTTGATCATGGCACTGAAAATTATTATGTCAAAATATTTAGGGTTTTTTTCTGTAATCCTACCCAAAACTCCCAGTGCTGTGGCTCTATGTCCCCAAGGCTGTCTCATGGGGTTCTCATCCTATAAAGAAGAAATTCAACAAAAATCATGTATTTGATGATAAGCATGTCCATGGACTCACTAAATACACTTCCCAGAACACTTCTATACCTATGGTATTTTGTTCATCAAATCATTTACAACTTTATAGTTCATTATACAAATGCATGAATAACAGAGAACGAAAAGAGAGACCAATCCTCCAGGACTAGCACGTACATGATTGCTTAAATGGACAGAAACTGAGCCAAACTTGGGCAGTGACTATCTTTGGATGTAGCTTGTGAATACAGATGCCTATGGCATGCTGTAAATCTAGCATGTGTAGCAGCCCCAAAATTAGGGCTCTTATGCAGGCTAGCAGCAACCAAACACCTGATAGATTTCCCAAGATAAATCATCTCGCTCGTCATGCTATAGTGGGCATTTCAATTTCAGTGGGAGACAAGAGGCAGCTGTAATTAAGTAGGGTGGTTACACAGCCAACAACAGGACTGAAGGCTAAAGGTCTCATGTTTCTCTTTTTATTGTTCTATCTTAAAACTCTTTTGTTAAAAATGAACTGCATTTTGCTAGGAACTGCTCACTTGAACAGGGAATGGATTTTTACTTTCTAGTGCCTTAAACAGGGTCAGGGTTTTAGACCGCTGGCAGAACGTACCTATCCAAAATGGGGTCAAGAACCCCCATAACCCCCCCCCCCCCTTCCAGGACTATACTAATCGCATTGTACTAATTTAGGTCCACATTGTGAAAAAACAAAATGACCCCCCCCTTCCCCCACAATCGGTAAGGCAGCCTATGGAATAGATAAATACACTAAAGTAGTTGTTTCTTGTCCTTGTGCATGGATAAATTACCTTGTTTTCAACATCCTTCAACAAATAATTGACAGTGTATATATTGTAGTATGGTGATAGACTGTTGAATATGTCTGGACTGAACGGTTTACTAAAAAATATAAAACATGGAATTAGCTGGAAAGCGATACCTGGCATCAGGGGGGCGGAGGCATTAAAATAAATCAGACCCAAGAGGTGTAGGGCACATTCAAAGAAAAAAAATACCCCGGGGGGTACTCCCCTATATTTGCTATACGGGGACGTGTCTCCAACCAGGGTATCGTTTTCAGCGATTTTACTCTGGAACAGGGTATCGTTTTTAGCGATTTTACTCTGGAACAGGGTATAGTTTTCAGTGAATTCACTCTGGAACAGGATCAGGTTTTTGATGTCCCAACGGCACACCCCCACCCAGGAAAAATATGTCAGGGGGGCATACAAAAATATTCACAGCTAGCAATTTACTACTGAAAATAAACTTTCCCTTCAAAGTAAATTCTGAAAATTAGTGAATCTCAATCTCATTCCCAGGCCACCAATTTGGGGTGCCAAAAGAAAGGGAAAAGGGCCTGRGAGAGAGGATGATTTGTCTCATCTACTTTTTTTTCCTTTTTTTGTCCCTCTTGTTGAGAAATTTAGTGGAAAAAAATTAAAAATTAATTTAGAAATTTACTTAAAAATAATTAAAAAATTAAAAATGTAGAAATTTATTTTAAAATAATTTTTATTTCTATTTATTTTCTGGGGAAGTGAATATATGAGTCGCCATTTAACTTACACTGGAGGTTTTTCGATGGATTTTCTAGTRTTTTGCATTTGYATTCTGCAGCGTTTTAAGTCAGCTATCAATTTTTGTGTTTTCTTATCAGCAGGCTTGTCCTCTTTTTTCTCATTGCTTTCATTAGTTTCTTCCGCACTTTCCTTTTCAACTGGAGTCTCTGAATCTACAGGTATATGTGAAGTATATATTGAGCATTTATTAAAAAAACATTAAATGCAGCAAAATAGTAAGTGGTGGTGAAGACAGATATTTCATGATTACAAAAATCTGCTGCACAGCCCTCCCCTCCCGTAGTCCCTCTCCCTTCCCCTCCCCTCCACAAAAAAAAAGTAGCATGTGTCTTGGAGCATAAGTATGAATTTTTTTCAAAATTCCTTGTTATTTTTCCTCTGAAATAAAAATTTTCAAAACCTCGTAGCACGGAACTCAAACTTCTAGCTAAATAAAATAAAACTATAGTTTGTAAGTAGATTCAACTATCTTAGCTGCCATGCGATGAGCATGCAGTTCAAGTTGTCAACAAAAGGTCTGGTCGACTCGAATTGCGAAAAGCGTTCTYGTATTTATTTTGTCAATAAGAAGAAGTATTCTGTTAAATCTCATTCTAGAGTTCAAAGGATTACTAAAAATCTTTTTTTGCAGAATGTCGTGCAAACTCAAGGCTTTAGRTGCATGAAAATCCGATTAAAATAGACAGTATAGATTTTAAATAATAAGTCGAACATTCAATTCGCGTTACYGAAGTAATTGTGCTGTATTTTGAAMTATAGTTTCCTTACCTGCCATTATACACGTTTAAAGCTCTTTTTCACTCAGTTTCTCTGCTAGGTATCTACAGTTTAAAGGAAAAAGTTAAGGACGAGTGCGCACAAGCCATTAGCACTCGAGTTCTTTGGGTCAATTTAGACCTGTGATTAACTTTCACAAAATCTTTGTCCCGAGGGACCCACACAAAGCCTAATTTTGTTGGTTTTCAAGATTAATTTAAAGAACTTTCAAGTAAAAAGCTTAATGTACCTTATATAACTCTCTGAGAGAGCTATTTTCTTCAAGAAAGAATCCAGCGAGGTATTTTCCGAAGCGTTTTCTGCGGTCAAAGATGCAGATGGTTGCCATGGCGCCGTCGTAGACGGTCGCATATCAATTTACATATTCGCAAATCACAWTTTTTTCTRTTTTCTTGGTCCCTCCTTCATTAATAGAATATAAAACCATTAAAAGAGAAGAAKTTAACTTTTTTAGAGTCATTGAGAATAATTTTGTGTGTTTTAATGAATAATGACCTTAATTCCATTTAGTCAGTATATTGTTATTTTACAATGAAAAGATATTAAATGTTTTCAATGACAGTTCATTAACAGGGATTAGTATTATTCATTGTATACAAAACAGTTGTAAATATTGTGAACAAAACATGAGTACAACTATTGAGCCTCTTAAAAATGAGCCTCGCGGGACGACACGAACATTTCCCGCGCGGTATTTCTTTAAGGCGAATGAGTGATTTTAATATTTCATAAACAAAAATCCAAAGAAAAACGTACAAAATAAGTTCAAGGATTGTTCACGTTTTTATGGACACAACTATACCTCAATTTTTATTGTTCAAGAGCGCAATACACTCATGTTCACAGCTAGAAAATTAATTTAGATTGTGGACTCTGCCTCTCTGTTTACTCTTATGAAATTAAATTTTTGCAGTTGATGTTAAATGTCGCTTTCACTCTTATACGCGCGCCACTAGACCGAAATAGAGTATGGGTTAACGACATTTCAGTGGCAATGRTCCGAAGATTGAAAACTAAAACATTTGTCTTCGCGTTTTGTGCAAATACAACAAGAACTGGTAGTTTGACTCATATCGAATACACTGTTCAATTATTAAAATATCAATTATTTATATATATCTATAATCCTAGCTTTTTGGCGTGGTCGTACCGTACGGATGCGGGCGCACAAATTTCCGGCTTCGCATGGACGGGGCCTTAGATTTGCTAATTACTTTCAAAGTGTGATTTTATGCATCCTTGTTCACACCCTAACAGCTATTTACTTCTTTCTTTTTCATTTTCCTATGTTGCATCAGTTTCTCTATTTATATTTCTTCAACACATTCATCAGTACTTTCGAAAAACAATGCGTCGTCCGCCATCTTGAAAAGTGGGGCTCGAATCACTAAATTATAACTCCTAAAGGATTTAAAAACTTCTCAGCTAATGTCAAGTTATCATTATACGATATAATGATATATTAGTTCACTTGGCAGCTACGAAATGTGTTCTAAGGCACAACGTAGTGATTCCGGTCTCACTTTTCAAGATGGCGGACGCATTGTTCTCCGAAACTCCTGATGCATGTATAAAATGATGTAATCATTTAATTTTGCAGTGCGTTCATTCATCAACAAGCAGTTTCTTCAACGACGATTGCTTCAACAAGGCCACTAACTTTGCCAAAGTCTGGCCTTTGGTCAGGTTTGTCTCTGTGGCAGTGTGTGATAATAGAATATCTGCAAAAAAAGTTAAACATTCACAAAACTGAATTTTGACAGTGCTAACGAGCGCCAACTTGACGCAGAAAAGCAAAGTGTACTACTAGTGGTGTCAAGACTATGATATAATGAATTGCATTTAATTCGTTGCTTGGAGAATAGCCTTCTGAAGATTTTACGTCATATACTGTATACGCAAATGCATTGTAGGATATGTTTGGAACAAAAAATGGCGGATTTCTGTTGTTTTCTCCAGAAACTGATCCCACAATGCATTGTAAATCAAGTAGGTGACGTAAAAGCTTTAGAAATCTATTGTTAATTAGAGTGAGAGTTGAATAGTTTAGAGATGCGCTCATGTACGACTTCATATGCTTCAAAAATTGATATAAAATTAACTAGAACTTTAATTGCCAAACTAAAAATCAATAGGCTTATTGAAGTGGAAAACCTCTCGAGAAAAGCGATAAGTGTTCTTTATTCACAAATAATAAATAAATAAATTCACATGGCGGAGAGGGGGGGGGGGTTGTAATTAACATTTTTGAATTTTTGGCTCATTTCTCAACCCCCTCCTAATACATATTGCGCAGTCCCTTATGAGACAAATCGCTGAAAAATTTATCGAATGYAAGATTTATTCTTCAGCCCTTGGGATGCGAAGATTTTAATAAATTAAMAATATCTGCTGAAAGTCAAGCCAAACATTTAAGCGCAGACACTAGTTCATACGTTTTATTCAGAAGCAAAAGATTGTAAAATACACTTACATTTTATCTGAACAGTTAAGAGGTTTCTGGAGCCTGTACCCCGATTTTAATTTCGGGTAGATTTCGTTGTTTTCAATCTCCGAATACGGCGATAATCCTAAATATGGGAGAGATTGATGGGTTATTAGAATGGAAGAAGTAGAAAATTATGGGAGAAATGGCGGGAAGGAAAGGAGGGGTAAGAAAGAAGGAAGAGAATGAAAAGAGGAGGATTCCGCGAGGTCAAAAAGAAACATAAGAAGACGAAACAAAGGATGGAGCGAGTGAGAAGGAATAGTGGAAAAGAGGGGAAAAGGAAGAGAGAAGAAAAGAATGAGATAAAACTGCAAGGAAAGAATGGAAAAAGGCATACACAAATTAAGAATGACAGAAAATTAAATTAGCAAAGAAAACAAACCTCCTGTTTCTATTTCCCATAATAAAACTCCATAAGACCACCTTTCGAAAGGAAAAAAACATACAAATTACTGCTATGGAATTATAGCTACATGATGATCTACAGGATCAAAGGTAAAATATGGTATACTGACACATCGCTTTTAGTTGAGAACTTTGAAGACTCCATGCACTCGGGGGCCATCCATCTGTAATCGTCCTGAAGAGAACAGAGGTGATATTTGGTTATATGACGAATCGGTGGATGCAGATAGCGATTCACCCCCCTGGCAGATAYACTCATAACTTTTAGACTATGCTTACTTTAACACGTTTACTGAGGGAGGAAACCCAGGCGGGTCGCGTGAGAAAACACAAGGGAGAAATGACGTTCATGTTACCTTGGTGATATCACAGTCACGTGACGCTCCAATGTTTGCAATTTTAGCAGAACCCTGTTTACCAAGATAAACATTTTTCGCTGCTAGGTAACCATGGATACACTGCAAAAGATTGCATAATCAGAATTAATAAGCCATTTTTGATTGGCTGCGTCATCTTGGAAGGCAACCGTGGGTTTAACATGATCGAAGTGAGACGACCGTTGAGCGTGCAATGATAGAAACCTTCTTTCACACCTACAGACAATTATTCACAGGTATCTATCATTACACRCTCAACGGTCACCTTGTTTCGATGCAAAGGCACGGTTGCCTTTCACCCAATGATAGTGCAGGGAACCGCGAAGGAAACTGTTCCCTTATCTCTTTTCAATGAACAAATTTATTGGGAGAGAGAGGTGTATTCGTGTTTTCCATGCCTCCCTCTTCACTTYATGGTTTCAGTATTTCATAGTTTTTGTAACATTACCTTTTGCTGTGCAAGCCATTTCATTCCTGTAGCTACTTCCAGTGCCAATCTTAATCGTTCTGCTTTTGGTAGACCGCAAGTCATGCTGGTCTGATTGTCGTTATCATCAGCGATTACTTGATGTTTACGAAGGTAATGCAGCATGTTCCCACACTCGGGAAACTCAAATATTAAGAGCAATGGCCCTGAAACAGAGTAATATAATGACATGATTATGAGATGATAGTGTAACAGTGGAGGTTCAAGGGTAGTTAAACAGGCCAGTAGGCTGCCTTACAGATGCGGGATGGGATGGGTGTTTCATTATTTCATAATGTTGAACTAAATTAAATGTTTAATTAAATTAGTTCAATGCACAGTATCACTGTGTGAGAATCGGTTGCTCGAATGAGCGGTTCATAACAAAAGAATTTTAAAAAAGAATAAAAAAGGGAAAYGCCGGACCTTTTAAGCTTATGGGGGGTTCGTCCGAACCCCCCGAAGCCCAGGGCCTGAATAGTGTAACAATAGGCTTTCGAGTGTARTCACAGCGCACATAACACGGTACATCAACCGGTCTTCCCTTGTTAATCACAGTAAGCTTCAGTTAAAACTACAACACTACTTTTTTGATAAAAAATGACACGAGGCGTCTGTCTTGGCCCTAGACCTCTGGATGCGAGCGCTCTAGAAAATCATATTACAAAATCAGACTGTCACTTAATTCCTTGAGATAATACGCGTATTCTGATTGCCTGAAAAATGACACAACGAACGTTTAGATTTTTTCTTGCACTCGTTATTTCCTAACTTGCTATATCACTGAGAAAAGCACTGCAAAGCGTTTTCTATTGGTTAAAGGCTCAAGTACCCCCAAGAGCCTTTGCGCGATTTTCTCACTTACAAAAATTCGCCATAGATATTGAACAAATCAGAAGGTAAGTTTCAAAAGAGACCATTTGTGAAACTGCGAACGCAAAGTTTCTCGGATGTACGTGGACTTTTATATAAATAGATTMATTCTTACGCGCGAACTGCGGATTGGTCTAACACGGAAACCGTGCTTTATTTCCCAAATRTAAGGACCGCTTACCTTCCAAACTGCAGGCTCCAATGAAATCTAATATATTGGGATGTTTGTCAAGACGGCATACAGTTTTCAGCTCATTCGAGACCACGGGACGTTCATCACATCCTACGAGACGAAAAGAATGTACTTATAATATGTATATATAAAAATACATATACGCCCACAGCACAGGGGATTTCTACCTCCAATAAACCCTTTTATCTATCTCTGTTTTACACTGCATTAGCCTAAAAAACATGCAATATATTCTTTTATTCAAAAAAGCCCGTGGATCTAACACATTGACAGATCATGAAACGGCAACTATCAACGTGTTAAAAACTAGCGTACGCCATTAGTTTGAGAGTGAATAGTAAAAGGGCACTCGGCTTTGCATCATGCTTAAGACGAAAATCCATTTGTGWGATCAGTATATACAGTGAGTGCGTGACAAAGGGGAGTGCKTGACAAAGAAGAGTGCGTGACAAAGAARAGTGTGTGACAAAGAAGAGTGMGTGACAAAGGAGAGAGTGAATMGTTTCCAAGAGCATCCTATGTGAATGAGTCTATCAKTAGGTCAATGACAAAATAGTTCCTWGCTTGAGCCCGCTATTCGTATATTGAATTCACTACATAGCTCCACCCCAATTAGTTCTGGAAATCTGAGCTCACCTGATATTGAYTTGACTAAACAYCTCCTAACACTACCCCCGTTAGTTTTTAATTGTCCTTTACGAATGACTTGGTTATTTTCCCTTTCGATTTCTTCATCAGTTTGGGTGACGTCACTTCGTGGGATYTCTAGCCATTCGGTCCTTTCGTCTTCCATCTCTAAAGCAATGTTACGAAACGAGTGCATGTCTCCTCTCTCGATTGACTATGAAGATATCAAGGAGRTTAATTTATTGTTGACAAACTGCGGTCGGTTTCAATAGGCAATGTGCAGCGACGCCATTTTGTGTAGCAAAGGATCATGGTAGTTGTASWACTCGCACATTTTTTATGYCCGCTAAAACAGTCCTCCTAACTAGKTTTTGCTTTATCTARGYGAAAATAGAAGTATTTGTGCCGTTTCTAAAAAGGTTATGAAAARTRCGAGGACTACAACTACSATCATGCTTTGCTGCACAAAATGGCGTCGCTGCGTAATACTGGAACTTGGTAATGGTTATACTTCACCAACCTTACCCTTTGAGAACTGGCATCATCCATCCTGACAAACTCATTGCTTGTCGTGTATTTTCCACGTTTTTTACAGACTTTTATAAAAAGTACCAAAATAATGACGAATGCTACAATCCCGACAATCACCGGGACTCCAATTGTGACAAATTTKGACAACTTCGAAGGAACTGGTGTTGAACTACTGCCTGTTGYTGCTGGAGGTGAAGTAGTCGGTTTTCCTACGATCGTYGAACAAACTATTACACTTTGATTTCCCATGACATACGAATAGAAAAATCACAATTTACTTCACAATATTCCATACGCTGGTTCAGTGACCACGAACAAACCATTGGACCGAGGCGTCAAGGAACAGTGAGCATAAAAAAGATCTGCGCTCAATACACCTTGACGCCTCGGTTCAATGCTTTGTTCATGGTCAATGAACCTGAATATGGAAAGTCGTGAATGACTTACTTGTCGAGTTGCATATTAATCCAAATTCTGGATATCGTGCGTGGAAATCTTTTTCAAAAAAGCACTCTCCGATGTTAGATTCATTACCAAGGCAACGGACATGAGTCATCCACACGGGGCCGGTACCCTTTCCATATATGTTAACGGCATTAAAGATAGTTTTGTTCAGTCCACTGAAGCCGAGTTGTCTGCACATCACGTGACCAACACGCTGCGAGTCCTTGTCTCTCACGTGAACAACACTGCCCCAGATCCCTTTGTACTGGACCTCTACGCGGCCATATGAATATCCACCACCTTCGAGACGTATTTTGAAGTCTGAGGAGAAAAACAAATTCACGAGTTTGTAAGGTTTTTTGTGATAGTAGTAATAAAACAATGCTCATCGTTTTCTCGTTTTCTTTAATTTAGGTGTAAACCTGGTGGATAAAATCATCTTGCAAAGCCATAAAGGAATATACAAAAACCCATAGTAAATTGGTAAGATGGTTACTTAATGGACAATCACAAAACTGCATCCTTTACGGCTGACTGACCGACTGACTGACAAACACTGTCTGATGTCCTACAACCTATCCGATTGGATGCAAATCTCACCTTCGTAGGAAATTCCAGTATAGCAAACAACACTAGCATCGTCCAAATGAGTAGGATAAACTGAACTAAAACCATCATAAAGACACGAACCGATATTAGTCTCATTGCCACTGCAGAGTACATCATTCAACCAAACAGGCCCTTGACCACCTCCAAACGCTCCATATTTGAAGCTCTCTAAGGATGATGGGTAACCCAGCTGACGACATATGACGTCAGCAACTGTCTTGTTGAAGCTGGCGCCACTCATTGTACCCCATACCCCCAAGTAGGAGATTTCTACTCGGCCATAGTAGGAGCCACTTAGACGAACCTTTAAATCTGCAAAATGAATTGAGAAAGAGGTATGGGAATTCAATGGTAATGTCAGGTATAGTCACGCACAGGCGTGATCATTGTCACGCACGTTACATGTCACGGTTGTATTCGTGAAAAATGTCATAGACATGTGTTCACTTTCACGCTAGATCAAGTTCACTATTAGAGCGGATTTCGTATGAGTTGGAAACGGACGGTACTGTACKGTGACCGTAATCGTACTGTAACCAAATTCTAGTGCCCCATTGTTTCACTAAAATTCTGCAGGCCAGGTCCGGTAACTGTGCGGTAACCGTGCGGTAACGGTGTCCCACTAATACGAAATCCGCTCTATAGTCATTGYTACTATCGTTATCAGAGTCATGTTTCATGTCAACGAGTCATTGCGTACAGGGAAGGATCCAGAGATTTACTGATCCAAATATATTTCAAAAAGACTAACAATATTTTTCGGAGCGTAAATTTCTAACATTAAAATAAGAAATCTAGAGTACCGGACTTTAAGTGAGAAAAGAGGGGGAGGRGGAATTCCCCCTTTCCCCTCCCCTGAATCCGCCCGTGGCGTAGTCAAATACAAAGAATCAAGACGAGACGCCGTGCATAAAGCTCTGCCGATCGTGAGAAACTGTTGTATTTTCACGAATGACTGAGCTTGTACTTTAGTCACATAGTGCACCTCGCCGAACAACGCATGACGTCATAGGGAGAGAGGAGCATACTAAGCCGGTTATTGTTTTACCTGACTGAGATGAGTCACACACAACCCCAGCATCATAGTCATGACTCCACATATCTTTCATTACTCGAGAATGTTCGCAGTCCCATAGGTTTGAYTCGTTACCATAGCAACTTAGTCTGGTCAGCCAAACTGGCCCTGTACCACTTCCAAATGGACCAGCTGCAAATTTAATTATATCTGGGGAACCACTGAGTCCGAGCTGATTGCAGACAACTTTAGCGGCCTTGATGTCGAAGCCGGCRTTGTGGACTGTYCCCCAGACTCCAGCGTAATACGTCTCCACGCGGCCATATGATTTCCCACCTCCGGAAAGACGAAATCGGACGTCTAAAAAGATAGGATATTCAAAGAAATTACACCAGTGAGGATCTTAACAATTTTGTATTTGATCGATTAAATGATTGGTTTCTTGCTCGATTGATTGACACTTGAAAAAATCGCGTACTTTAAAAGTGCGCGATTTCTCTAGTGTAATGGGTTAACTGATTGATTAATTGATTGATTGATTGATTGGAAGCTTTGGAAGATTGACCGCTGGATTGACTGACTGAATGTCTGATTGATAGGTTGCTCGTTTGGTTCATGGATTGACTAATTGATTGTATGATTCAGGATATAATGTTCGATTTACTAGTGATGGTGGACTGATTGATGTTGATTGATTGATTGATTGATTGATTAACGCGGATTGATTGATTGATTAACGCGGGTTGATTTGATCTACTGATTCCTTCATTGATTGATTGACTGATTGATTGATTGATTGATTGATTGATTGACTGATTGATTGATTGATTGATTGATTGATTGATTGATTGATTATTTGATTGATTAACGCGGATTGATTGATTGATTAACGCGGGTTGATTTGATCTACTGATTCCTTCATTGAATGATCGAATGATTGATTGATTGTTTTACAGGCCCTTACCGCTATGGTTCGTCGCACAAACAACACCAGCATCATTACTGCCATCATTATTAAAATGAATTGAATAGCTACAATCCGCCAATGAATTCTCACTACCATTGCATTTAAAATTACGAATCCATTCAATCATCGGCTTCCCTTTGATCCCAAGAACATTAGTTGCGCCGTGAAGGACCATCTCTGCGCCTGCGTATCCCAGCTGTTTGCAAATCACGTGAGATGAYGTCATATCCCAWWGRTYGTCATTGACAATGCCCCACATCTTAGCCAACTGGACTTCTATGCGACCAGCGTAAGGCACCGTGTTGTTGTTGAAGGCGAGTCGGAATAACGGCGCTRAAAACACAATAAATATACATTTTCAACTGCAATAGGATTGAAATAGAAAATCCCCATCGACGCCATTTTGTTCAATAACTGAAGCATAATGGAAGTTGTAGTCCTCGCACTCATATGCCCTAAAAATCGCCCTAAACGTCTTTTTTGATATTTTTTTATAGAAACAGCAGAGCGCTAGCTACTTCTATGTTTGCACAGAAAGAGCAAAAACGGCTTATGAGGACTGTTTTAGCGGATATGAAAACGTGCGAGAACTAGAACTCCCATCATGCTTTGTTCCACAAAATGGCGTCGCTGTACATTGCCTATTACTACCATTTCCAYTATGACTATCGAACACAACCTTTGTCGGTGACCGTGAAAACGTCAGGTAATAACATAGGCCGCCCAACTATTTCTTGAGAGACAAAAAAGAACGAATGCGCACTTTTACGMTGGTACTGTTTTCGGCACGCGCTCTTAGCTAAATTCGGGYTACCTGTGGTATTACGTYAGTGATCCCTTGCCTCGCGGGATCAAAAACCTAGTATATGACTAGTATTTGATCAYATGGGATCATTCATRACGTAATACCACAGATAATCCGCATTTTGYCAAGAGCGCGCGCCGATAACAAAAACRTGCAAATTCGTCCGCAAAAGTTGGGCGGCCTATGGTTAATAAAACCATTTCCACTTACTTGTGGCATTGTTTTGCTGACAAAGCACTCCAGCGCTAAAGCCATAAGAGGATCTCTCTGTTTCAACAGCGAAGGGACACTCCGTCAACCGCGTCTCATTCCCACGACACTCGATGTTCTTTAACCATTTTACAATATTCTGCACAACTTTAAACACCCGTGCTGCACTATAGATAACAGTAACGGCCCTACTGTATCCAAGAGACCGGCATACCACGTGACCATCGTTGATATCCCAGCCAATGTTATCAATGTCGCCCCAGATTCCTGCGTGCAAAACTTCCACACGGCCTGCATATGGAACCAAGGCCCCAGTCAGACGTAAACTATAATCTAAAAAATATCAGTGTGCGATGTTTAAATTCGGTTGACCAACCAAGAATGTTTTATTTTCGTGGATTTGCTAGTGTTAACTCGTTCCTTGTGATTCCGGTAATGTGATTTAAATTTTCGGGTTCCAACTCGAGTATATTTCCTCGGAGAGCGCTCGAAAATTTGAAACACAACACAGGAATTTCATGGAATTCCAATTACATAGACCTAATCGGCTAACGCGTTGCCATATGTGTTACCAACCAATTCAAATCCTGTGTGAAAGAGAACTTTTGTTTCTAAGAATTCAACAGTGAAAATGAAAATATAATGAACAATGAATCTTACTCCCGGGTGGTTTGAATTAGGTTGAAGCGTTTATAGCAACGCGTTAGCCGATAGCCGCATTGAACATTGGACAAGTGAAATGTTAAGGCCTTGATGTAGCCTGCAACTCCCCCCACAAATTGAAAGGCAACCATGCCTTTGCACCGACAAAGGCAAAGTGCAACTGCAAAAAATCCTTATCTTGTTTCGATAGAAAGTCGCGCTTACCCGTCAAGATGTCAAAGGGAAACCGTGAAAAAGATTACGTTAATCTAGAGCACTCGAATATACTGATATACCGCTGAAATTCAGTATTTTGTTTATCATACGGATCTATCCAAATAGTGTTACCGAGTACACTTCAAGCGTTTAAATTTTACTGCTGATGTTTTGCGCTGGAAAGTCAGCAATGAAAACAATAATGACACACTTTGTAGAATAGGAAAGCACGGAGGGGGTCCATGGCGTCACCAGTACTCCACTATCGAATTCATAGCGAAAAAAACTGTTTTATTCGACAACAGATCCTCTTGCGCAAAGACCTGATCAAACACAAAAGAGTGCACGTTTTTACAATAGCCTGGAAAATTTGCATTTTCCCCGAATTGAGGCTAACCACGTATTCCCCGAATAGACGCCGCATCTGAGTGCGTTGTCAATTTGAGAAATAATGATACCAGCAATTATGGGAATTTATTTTCTTTTATAACATTTTTTATTTCAAAGTGACTGTACTTTTTTGCTCTCGGCAGCTGTTAGATTCCGACCACGAGGAGGATATTGATGTTGAATAAACTGTATAGACAAAATGAACACGACATTTATATATTGAAATTCGTTGCTGTTTGTTAGTAAAAAGATACAATATAAAATAAACGACGCCCCCGAATTGACGACGCACCTGGATCGTGAAAAATAAAATAAACGCCGCGGCTTCTATTCGAGTAAAAACGGTAGTCGCTTAGAATTCGAAAATGGAGTATTGAAACAAGTTATAAATTGTTACCATTTGTATAATTTGTTGGAATGCAAATCACGTTTGCTTGAGACGAGGGATAGCGGCAGTCAGTAATCCCCCATGGGTTATGCCGACACTCGCCAATGTCCGTCTCGTTGCCACGGCAATTGACGTCATCAAGCCAAAACCTGCCCGTCTGGTTTGTACTCGACTGGTTTGCAGGAAAGACCGTGCAGCAGGGAGCGGAGAGCGCACCAGTGAAGCCAAGTTGACGACAGACAACCAGAGCGTCCTCAATATTCCAGTAATCGTCGCATATTGATCCCCAGACCCCTTTATAGAACACCTCGACGCGGCCAGCGTGTGGTACTGGCTTGTGGACAAGTCTAACAGGGATACCTTGACAAAAGGAAATATTTATAGTAGCAAAAAAATAAAAAAAAATTCTATGGCTTTGTGTGAGCCAACATGGAACATACCTAACCCTGTTCCCAAGTGAGTACAGACAAAAACAAGAACAACCCATCGATAAAAGGCCATTGAACGTCCTAGACGTAACCATTTATCTGAAACACAAAATAAAATAAGGTAACCATCCTTTAAGTCATTGTCATGGAAGTCATTGTACATGGGGTGTATAGTAACAAGGAATAGAACCAGTCCCGATCTCAAAGGCAATAAACCTGTTTTCGATTGCGGAATTGATCCCAGGAGATCCGTTTTGATCCTGATGTATAAATCAGTGATTCCGATCCTTATTCTTTTACCCCGACCACGGACCACAAAATATGCAGTCCTTATTTGGTCCTACAAAATATCGATTACTTATCTAGAAAAAAAACGATGCCTCGCGCCGCTCGTTCTAGACCATTCTGTCTCATTCCAGTTCTCAGGATCGCATATCGACAGATATATCAGATCAAAATACAGGACAATGGCAATATACCTCATTATATCCTTGTCGAAAATGTGCAGACAGCAAAATAAAATGCGAATAAACCATTTTAGCGATCTCTTTTACGCTGTGTTAGCCTCAAAACCATGCAATAAATTATTTTATTCAAAACAGCCCGTGCAAATGCAAGAGATCCGTGAGCATAGAAGACAATGGAAATAGTTTGAAATCTCACGAGTTTTGTCTACATTTCTGAATATTTTAGTACACAATACACCTTAATCCAAAATGGCTGACTAGCTCTTGATGTCTCGTTTTCATGAAATTGTTCTTTTCCGTTTAAAGTCACTCAAGCTCAAAGACAAAAGAATAATTTTATGAAAACGAGACATCAAGGGCTAGTCAGCCATTTTGGAATAAGGTGTATTGAGGCTAACACACCGTAAAAGATATCGCGAAACTCAACTATTGTCAATCCCGATCATTTATTACCATATTTGTAAAGTGAAGGTTTACAGCCTTTTGCAAAAATTATGAGAATTGTTGAAATATCTAAATATCATAATATCGAGTGCATGGTGGGTAATCCCGCGCGATGCCCTTAGTCCCTTGTCTTTGTAGTTTAGTTTTTTTTTGGCGACAGACTTATCCGTAGTTCTGAACATTTTCTCGATGTCAACAATGAATTATTCTAGCAAACCCGCGTGTTCCGGACAATATATGGATATGGATATTATGATATTTAGATATTTAGACAATTCTCATAATTTTTGCAAAAGGCTGTATATATCCGGTATATCATCATTTAAGTAATTCTAAAATCATCCGAGCCAAAGATCGCTAAGTGGTAATAAAGTAGTATAGGAAGTACCAAACCCTCCATGTCATGACGTCACTATCAGGAACCAGCAAGAAAACACAGTCGTCAGAAAAAAAAAATAGTCTGGATGTCAGAGACTGAACAACATCCATCAACGATTGAAGTTACATGAGAAGAAATGTTGCTTAACCCGTCAAAGAACGGATAAAATACCACAAAATGTAAAAGAAAAACTGTGCATTTGTATGAAGAAATTAAAGTTTTATAAATAAACGTTGATATAGCGATTGTAAAAAGCTTTTGCTGAGTTTGGGCCTACTGTACGAAAAGATCCATTTTATGAGGAAAATGGCTTTGTTTGAAGAGTATATAGGAGTTGCACACATACGAGATTGTGGAGGAACACCTTGTGTAATGAACCGCGCATGTTGATGCTAGCGCGCTTGGCCATCATATGAAAATTCAAGTAATTCAAAACCCCATGTCAAGAATTAATGCAAAATATCTATGAGAACGAGCCGACTACTAAATGTTTCCCAATCCGTAGTTTCTGGGGGGTCACATACCACCCATGTACAATGCTTTTTCTCGACGAACGGTTGACAACATTGGAGTAATGTAATGTCGGATGTCGCCCCTAGGGCAAATATTGAAATATTTATAGTATTGTACAATTTTTGGCCAAAAAATGAAACAATATTCTACATTTTGCTGAAGCCCTTATAAATGAAATCTTAAAGAAACATAATCGGAAGTGTGTCGTGGTGAAGCGATAGCATAACAAGATAAGAACGCATGGCCGCTACTTCATAAGTTCCGCGCAACGCTGAAGCACAACAGTGCAAAACTTGAAAGCGCTTCCTCTCGAGAGCCTTAAAACGAAAATTATGGAAAAAATACGACTATTTTACAGACGAAGGGAATTTAAGGCAATTATGGGCGCCAAATTGGAAATCACGAAGCCGTAGTCCAGTCAAACAAAGAAACATATGCTTTGAGTATTCAATTCGACACAAGAAAGAATATAAAAGTCAACAAATCAACTGAAAAAGGTGAAAATAGCGACTTGCCTTTTGATGCGATTAACGTTAGGCTTCTTTTCTTGAGTCAAAGAGGTATATGCGTTGTTGACATGCACGGATTAGAATGAGCAAATTCTGTATGGTGAACTATAACTAGCGGAAGCGAGCACTGGCCGACAGATGCAGTGTTGAGTAACATATTAGGAAATCGAGTCTAATTTCAGCTTGATTAGCCGTGTTTGTGTTCAGCTCGTTAAACAAGGGAATTGTTGACAAGACAAACCATTTGAATAATAAAAGCGGTTTTCAGACAAAATAGCTTAAAGACTTTTCAAGTGCTCTGGACATCTGGTTTTATCTGGTTTGATTTTGCTCTAAAAGAACCAGGCGAATGAAATGCCGAATCTCACATGTGCTGAAGTCAGTGGAATTTATTCCAAAGTTTTGCTTTTGTGCAATCTGGCAATGTGAAATTCGACGTTGTTTCTTCAAATCATTTAATGTTTATTTTTATGTGCCTTTTCATTCATTCTTGAAAAGGCGAAATCATATAAGCGCAAAATCAGGAAAAAAAATATTCCACTTCCGGACCGGCTCATCCGATGAATCAACCCACCCATAAAAAATTTCATCCTGGTCTGCTCTGATTAAAACTGATTCTGTTTCTCTTTTAGAATAGTTTTTATTGATATTTTCTTTCTTGATCAAACTTTCTTTAACCTTGACTTTTTTCATGTTTGCTTTCCTTAGGATATTTCTTTCTATTGACACACCTAATCCCCAAACAACCTCATTCGGCTCTCTTGAAGAAAAACCGTACTAAACGTACTAGTTATAGTGCTAGCTCGCAAACTGAAATCATATTCTATAGTTTTAGCTTTTAGCTGGGGAACAATGCTTTTGTACAGCAAAAATTTTGTATCAAGATTCAGGGTTCAACATCAAAACAGTTTACATTTTAGCACGATAATTGGTTTGAGAGTCTTACTCTTAATTAAGAATAATTAGAATAGGTCTTAAAGATTTATACGCTAAATTTGTATTATCTATTATTAGTCAAATAGAGCGGCATATTGTCTAGTAAAATACATCCTCTGTGTACACTGTACAAAAATATTGCCACTAAAAATTACTTTTGATGACGGAACACACAAATCATCTTTGACACTTGATACAAAACGATGATTTTGACATCATGTAAATCTTTCTGCAAAGAGGCACGGGACCTTAATTAGCAAACTGGGCAGTTAATATTGGTGGAAGTAAAGTTTAGCTTAAAGTTATGAAACTCTCAAGGTTCAATGACAAAGAAAAAGGCTTTTAAGTTGATTTTGATCTTACTTTAAGGCCAATGAGAGAATAGTAGATGAAATTCTTTGAATAGTTGGATCACTTTGCTTTTTGGAGCACTTCGCGATCACTCAAGTAGCACTGAATAGTTAAACCTTTTCGCAAATCCTTTCAAACGCAACGCATTATAGAAAAAAGATTTACAATTAATTAAGCTGCTAGGGTATGTCACATTTATGTATACATTGAGTCAGAAAAAGATGGCGCGCGCATCTTGACTGGCGTCTTTGAACTCAAAAGTTGACCTGTTATGGAAATCAGAAGTGATATTGGACTGTCTGAGGTGGCTACACGCACATGGTTTCAAAAACTATAACATAAAAAATATCCCTAAGCTAAATAGAAGACAATGAGCAGTCAAAATGAAATAATATCATGAATCCAACAACTCCAAGATGCAGTACTTACTTGGGCGCGCGGGTCAGTCTTTCTCTTGGACGTTGACCAAGTGTTTTCAACTGTTTCAGTTCAACGCTACTAATTGATTTAGTTTGTAGACTAATTTGATCTTTTTCTCACTTACAAGATACCTTACTCGTAAAGTTTGTTTTCCTTGAAAAAGAGCAGTAAGATTAGCACAATGTTTAGACAGTCAAACCAAATGCGAGAAAACAGTAGGTTCTTAACTTACTCTGTTAAACCTCAGTCATTTTCTTCAGCAAACTCAAATATTCGATGATTCATGGCGTATCCTTGGCTTCAATAACCATTTAAGATAAACGCACCTCTTTTCAAGCCAAAACTTGCGCTTTCCCACGATTTCAATGAGGCCACGAGTGCTCTATTTCTGAGTCAGTCAAACGTGAGCTTCGTTTCAGTCACAACAGACAGGCCGTTTTGTATGCTTTGCAATGTTTACTTATATTTTGAAAAAATGTCATGTATGGCGACTTTCGTTATTACAAGACACTGAATAAACGAGTTTGAAGTGATTTGGCCAATCTATCACAACTCAAATCAAAGAAGGCTATGTGTCATTAGTTCGTCACACAAGGCACGTCACGTCACGTCACGCACGCAAGCGCAGTTTGCTGAATTTACTACTTTCAAAATATTGTATTTCAGACTAGATCTATCCTGTACTTTTTTGAAACACTGCACTTAAGAGTATCTTACTTTCCTATGACTGATTTTAAGAGTTTCCAAAGACTGTAAAATGCAAATGCATGTCAATTTTTTATTTTTTTATGTTTTTGTCTTTAGACAAACGTTTTACAGACTGTCTCAGCACAAAGCTAAGAGCTCACCTTGACCCAGAAGTCAACTCGCTTGTCGTTCACAGGTAGCCCAAGCTCAACACTTGAACACGAAGTTTCAGCTCAGAAAACAGACAGTTTATTTCACTGCAGGAAGCTGAAACTTCGTGTGCATGTGAAATAAATTAAGCACAGCATATTTTGTGAGTTTTAATGCACTTTTAATTGAGATTTCCACCTTTTATTGAAATTCAGAGAATTCTGAGCTTGGGCTACCTGTGGTTCGTTCCCAGGCTGTTGAATGCAGTTAAGTTGAAAACATTCGATGAGAAAACTGTTTTCTGTAAAATCGTCACATAATTTCTCAATATCAACTCGAAATATTTCATTCTGTAATGGTTTATGCTTTTTTACTACATACACTTACCGCTGGGCCGTGTAGATTGCTATTTTCGTCTGTGTTTACGCAAGATTCTTCATCGGTAAGTTGGCCATTTTAAAAAATTAAGTTACAAAATATCCTTGCGTCCAGATCGTTCCAGTTTTGATTAATTAACTCACTGTCTGACTGATAGAATACTTGTTGAGTTGTTTGACTGATTAGATTGATTKATGGATTGAGTGAATGAGTGATTGGTTCATTACTTGATCATTTTGGTTTAATAATAGTTCAGATTGTTTTTTTTTTATTGATATTGATTGCTCTGTGATCACCATTCTTGTCAGGAGCCTAAAGGGAATGATGATCTGAGAGAAAACATCAAAGAACAACTTCTTCAAGTTGCTAACAGAGTTCAATCAGAGTTTTCATTTCGATACGTTGCAGCAGGAACTGTGATATCCCAAGAAAACCTGTCACTCGCTACTACCGATGAGTATGTTCCTACATACAATCTAATAACTGTCTTGTATTACTGAGACCAGCCATGTAATATGMCATTTTAATTTAGCAGACTGCTGTCAATCAAAACTGATAGCATTGGTTTCAAATCAATTGTTGTTAAGACCATAGTATCCTTGGTTGGTTGATGGCAGTATATTTCCCATTACACTTCCTTGATATTATGATCTTGATATCATTGATGTCTAAGTTTATCATCAATACTATTTCATAAACATTGAAAGAAGTAACCAGTATTATCAAATATCAGGAGAAGCTCTTTTCTTATTTTCTTACTTTTCTTGAGAATTAAAGCTCTAAATTTTAGTTAAATTAAATCAGGATGTTGTATTATAATTATAATTATATTTATTAGCAACTCTTCAAGTTCCCCTTTTTTTACTATATGCTTAAATTATAAAGTAATGATTAATTACAAAATTTGATGATATCTCATACAATCTTATGTCAATCTTTGGCAGACTTTTAGCACAGTTAGAGTATGGAGTTTTTAGGTGAGTAAATTATTATAAATTCAGCATTACTCCATTCCATGAAGTCTTTACTAAATTACTAATTGTACATGTTTAAATAGATTGACATCTGGGAATCCATTTAGCTCTGAAAAAATTATTGTTTGGAAGGGCTTAGCAAAGTAAGTAGTATGTATGTTGACTCCCCGAGGGGGGGGGGAGGTACTCCCCTATATTCGCTATACGGGGACGTGCCGCCAACCAGGGTATTGTTTTCAGGGATTTTACTCTGGAACTGGGTATCGTTTTTAGTGATTTTACTCTGGAACAGGGTATCGATTTCAACGAATTTTCTCTGGAACAGGGTCAGGGTTTAATTCCGGAATTATTTCGATGCACCATGTGGTGAATTCTTCGGTGGTTTAGGACGACAAACAGAGAACTACACTAATCAACTTSATTCTTTATTTCCCGCTAAACCATGTGCCTGCTCGCGCATGCGTACATGTAATTAGACAGGGAGCCCAAATCGTGGCTATCCACGACACACGGGGTAAAAATTCGGTCTACACGCAAGCTAGTACAAGATTTTCTCTGGAACAGGATATCGTTTTCAGGGATTTTACTCTGGAACAGGGTATAGTTTTCAGCGATTTCACTCTGGAACAGGATCAGGGTTTAGACGTCCCAGCGGCACACCCCCACCCAAGTTTGGGGAGAGTACCCCTCCCCGGGAAACCCTCCCCGGGGTTGATTCTGTCATGTTTTTATGAAAAAATTCCCCCAAATCAAATCAAAGACCTCAGGCATCCCAACCCTGGGTGCATATGATTAGATGATCATTTCATTCCTTTACTTTTAGTTGTGGATTCACATTAATCTGTGAGAAAACAGAAAACAGGCAAATTGCAGAGAATGTATTGACCTCGATTATCAAGCATCTACAGGAGTACTGTCGCATTATCTTGCAGCCAACTGAGGTACTGAGTATAATCATGTCATGAGATCAAATTTAACTCAAATCAATGCCACAGGCATCCCAACCCTGGTGTCAGCTGCACATTTTTTTCTTTTATTAATAAGTAAGGGAAGCCCTACAATTTTACCCAATACAACAATGAAAATAGTAAAAGTAAAATAAATGTCTGAATCCCTCTTGAATGCACCACTATGAATTGAAGCTACAACGAGACTACATGGACTTGTTTCACGTTGCCGTTTATTACCCTGGTTACCCTGGTTACTAGATTGAGCTGCGAAACGGCGAGATGTTTCCATTAATCAGTTTGTTTTTATGCCAAGCTTCTGGTCTCAAGTGTAGGCAATCTCACTTTCATGCTGTGTTTTGGCAAACCAATCACAGATCGGTAGTAATATGAGATCTACTATCTATTATAAGCTCTTATTGGTTCGTTTATTGACTTGTTTGACAGCTAAAATACAGCTTTGTGGCTTAGTAACATAGTAAGCAAAAGAATAAAAGAAAAGCCTCTGGAACCAGTCCTTTATATGACCACTGAATTATTTGTATCATTTTGTTGTTTTAGGCTATTTTAAAACCTGRTAAAGTTACTGCAGTTTTGTTCCAGTTTTTACCTAATGGGCAGGTAAGGTTTTTTACTTTTGACCACAACTATTTATCAATTTGATTCTTTGGTAAAGGGGGGAGGTATGCTCATCCAAAATTTTCAAAAGGATCCCCAGGAGATATCAAAAGCTTTTCTAAAGGCCAATTTAGACACAAACTTTTGCCTACAACCACCTTCTTAAGTCATACTTACAGCATGGCTACAACTATCATTAGCCTATTAAACAATTGTCTTAAATCTCTACGACAGTTGTAGCTATGTTAAGGTTGATTTAGACAGTACAACTTTTGCCTACAACCATCGCATGCAACCTTCTTAAGTCATCCTTACGACATGGCTACAACTGTCGTGAGACTATTAAGCAATTGTTTAAAATCCCTACGACAGTTGTACTGCCATGTCGTAAGGATGACTTACCCAGGTTGCATCCGTTGGCTGTAAGCAAAAGTTGTGTCGTCTAAATCGGCCTTTTTAAATGACTTACACAGTTGCATGCATAGTTGTAGGCAAACATTGTGCCGTGACTTGACTTGACTGCAATCACATTTTATATATTCTCAGCTTCTGTTCATGAACCATCGCTTTGTGAGGCAGCAAGAAAAACAACTTGAACAAATCATGGCAATGAAGTGACTTTGCAATCATAACAAGATGGGGTTTCTGTGGGAAAAGTCATTAAATTGTCACCGCTATGTCAAGTTTCGCGAAAAAACAGAGGCAACCAGCGGC